TTGTACTGCGTCTACTTTCACTCCGCGACTCCTATACTGTATGTAAAAATGTCGCATATGCATATGAAAATGAAGAAACGTGGTGTTTTTTTTTTGTTTTCTCTTCACATGCACGTAATTTTTTTTAAAGATAAAGTGGATGTGCTTTTTTTACTGTAGGAAAAATAAAGTTGATACACCTCACGACTTGTGACATGCTCGTGCGGGACTTTTTTTATCGTATACTACATCATCTAGCATGAAAACACTTTGGAAAATGTATTTGTTTCGGAATTCAAATATTTCAAATGTTTTATATTTTTCTTCACTGGAACCAACAAGTTTCAATGAAAGATTGGTGGAAAAATAATGCAAAAAAAAATTAAAATACTTTAATTTTTCGAGACAGTCACAAACATGTCCACGTATTTTAAATCGCATTTCTTAACTTCCCCATGGACCACATGTTCGCATAAAGTACTTATACGAATTTTGCCTGATTTTTTACATGAATATTTCTACGATAGCTTGGAAAAAGGGTGTAAACGCAGTCCACGAGATCCGATTCCCACCCGCTCGAGAGTAGGTACGAACATTATGAGAACAAGTTGTACCAATCTTGGACAATAGCCAACTTGAGCTGTAAGTGAAAAAGGGACATTCGTGGCCATAGATTTTTTACTGCATACAGTCGTTAACGAAACAAAAAAATTCCCTGTATTTTCAGCTCACTTTTTCCCCCTTTTCGTTCTTTTTTTTTTTTTTTTTTTTTGTTCCACGTTTTGCAGCCCTTACTTTGTCACGCCATGCAGATCCGCGCCAGCGATAATATTTTTAAAACACCATTATCCCCCAAATCCAGATCTGAGACGAATTGTATGGTACTATGGTCGCCGCAGACTTTTTTCGTTATGGCGATTTATGATCGCACCTTTGGGCTTACATCGTTTTCCCTCACCGTAGCTTCTGTTTTTCGGTAACAGCGTTTTTATTCGCTCCGTAAGTGTGAATTGTGTTGCTTGCCGCGACACGACTGTGTTTTTATTGTCCCGTAAAGAATAATTTTAACGACAGAACTGGGATAACTTTCATCATCTTGGAAATCCGGGCACGGTCAAAGTTTTTTCTTTTTTTTTTTCGTTTTTCTTTTATAAAGTTTTTATTCGCCAACCAAGATAAAACAGTGTACCTGCTGTAGGTTTACTGTGACAGAGACATTATTTTTTTTTTTTTTTTTTTTTTAGTACTCACGGTACGCCCAGCTTTTTGCAAGTGCCAGAGACGAATAACAATCGGGTCACAGTACTCGGACCTTTCATCTCAAAGAAGACAAATATAGTGAAGACTACCACGAGCAAAAGAATACTTTTCTCTTCTGGTCGCGTTAATGCGATCCATCCAATTATGGACAAATAGAGGGAAAAGCTGTCACTCGCCCAAAGTAATACGGTAAGCCCCACAATTGGATGGCAACTTTGATATTACCTTTTATTTGACTTGGCTTACGTGAAGGCAAACTCACGCACTAGTTTAACCGAGACCCCTCCATGTGCGAGTGCCATACGTATACAGCTCACACTGGAGGTTTAAAAAAAAGCTTCGCAGAGAGAGGATTTTTGTTTCTGTAGTATGATGAGCTTTTTATCTTCGAACCAACGTTGTGACGTGAAGTTTCATTCTGTCGTTCTTATATTCTTTTTTAATCCCTCAACTGCGTAGCGTTTGCTTCACTTTTCACGAGTACGGATATTTTAGGGCAAAAGAATAAAACATTTATGAAGATACGTCCTACGCCAATAAAAACATAATCGCTCGTAGTTTCGCAGCAGATTAGATAACTTGCGGAAGCATCGGTGATAGTAAAAACGGTGAATTGGAAAGGCTAAACTGCCGCGAATTTTTGAGCCGATTCTGTGTAAGTGCCCATGATACTCGCGCAAGAGCAACGACCCACTTTTCTAAACTACACCAGCTGCAATTTTACTGTGCATTTTCAGGAAAAAAGCTGTAGGTACGTGTGTATTTTATTTTTTGGGAGACATTTTGCTACGTTCTTTCTTACTCGGGGGTTTCTCAGCTCGACAATGAGCTGCTTTTAACACGTTTTTACTCTACACTGTGTAATGTGTATTGTGTGCAGAGGATCGATAAAGTTTTGCCATAAATGTAGTATTATGGTGTCGAAGATCATGATGCCTTTACGTGGGCAAACAGTCACGTCTCGGGATAAATTTTGTTTCTTCTTTATTGTTGTTAACAGCGGCTGAAGTATTAACTAATAATTATTGTTAAGCAAATAAATGAAAATAATCACGTAAAACATGAGAGAAATTAATTGTTAATCATAAGGTACAAATCGTTGGACAGCAATTGGAAAATACAAATCTGTATGATTTATCAGTCTTAGGAATCAAAAGTATAGAAAAACGACGGAAACAAGTAATTTCAGAAAGCCTTGCGTGTCACTTTGATTGATGGTGACTTTTTGATCTGTACTGTATAGCATAGACAATAAAACCGTAAAAATCCATCCAACGTATTATACCTCTCAAATGATGTTTTTGTTCAAACAAAATATCCTTTCAAAGGAGCCCCCGAGTCCCACGGCAGCACCTCGACAACGTACCTCTCAAACTCAGCCAAAAGAAGTTCTCCTTGCCGGCAACAGAAGCCTCTCCGATCGATGCGAAGCACGCCGGGCTCACTAATCTCCACCCACCGCGTATGCCCCCCCCCCCCTAAAGGCACCCCCTCGAAGCCATTAAAAAGAACGAATTCTCACCGATAAAATATGCTCGTGGTGAGCCAGCCAGGGGAAATTTCGCGGCGATGGCTTTACGAGAATATCTCCCCCCCTCCCGAGGAATAACCCGGGCTCCATTGAATCATTTTTTTTTTTACTCCTCCGCGTATTATCTTTCCTCGGCTGGTATTTTTTGACGAAAACAGAGCAATTTCCGAGGACATTTTGTGAATAATAAAACCACGAGGTTCGGGTAATCCGCGTGACATCGGTCTTTACGGGAGGCACATTTTACTTTTGTTGAGATTTATCTCTGACGAGCTCGCCCCGGAAACCAGATACGGATAACGAGATTAGCCCGATAGGGGTACACGAAACTTATCGTGACGGTGTGCGCGTTAAGGGGTGGGGGGGCTGATCCATCTCAGGGGCTCTTTATCCGTCGTTGTGCTTCTTCTCGGCCGCAGTGACAAGTAATTACCGAAACCCAATTACAATGGTGGTAATAGTAGACGGAAACTAGTGCGCTCTACTCAGTTTTTTTTTTTTTTTCCAAAGGCACCCCTAGATCTCGAGCGGCCAAGGAGGAAAAACCATTTAGGAGAGTGCGCGTCTGAGCTTCAAAACGAATCTGCTGAGCTATGAGCCGCGTCGCCTACGAGGTACCTTTCGTGTTTTCTCAACCAGCAAATGCGTCTCTCGCTTCCTTTTTATCTTTTTCCCCGCAAAAATGCTCTAAGTGGCAAAGGAAAGTTGGAGAGTTGCAGAAGCGAAAATTCTAGGGGATGGCTAGACATGGTGCCTTGTTTTTTTTCGTGCTGCATACAGTTGAGCGTCAAGCGGAAAGGTACCATTTAAGCATACAATATGGCTTGGACTTTGATGAAATCAATTTATAAAAAAAGACTTGGATTTATTGTATTTTCAAGCTTATTTTTGTGCAAATGGAAAACAACGGGCTTTCATTTAATTGACAATAAATCCATGGTCAAACTTCTAAGTTAAATCTAACAACCCCCGCGTACGTATATTTTTTCACATTTTTGATGAGACAATGATAATACATAAAACATCTTTATTACAATTCAGATTTTGTTAATCTGACATAGAACTTTATTTTACAGCATAAAATCTAGTACGTCATTCGAAACATTTGATAATTTTTTTGGTTTATTCGCGGTAATGCTATTATATTGTCAAACAGCAACAAATGAAGTTATTATGGGGAAAAAAAATTACTACGTTTTAGTAGTGCGAAAGATGAAATATTTTTTTTATTTTATTTAATTTATTCTGTACATAATTGAATTGAAAATTAAAAAAAAAAAAGTTTGATTGGATGCTGAGTCTGTAATTTTTTTGTAACTTTTAGAGATCATTAGGTATGTAGAATTTGAAGTATGTAAAACAAAAAAGGTAAAAAGTTCTGCCACAAAAATGTTTGTATTCATCAATGATAATTTGGATAAAGTATTTTATCGATGGCGAAAAAGATAATCCACTTACTTTACAGCTGATGTTAAGAAAAAATAAAAACGTAATGTGATTGTTCAAAAACAAATTTATGACAAGTTTGTTGGCAAATAATTTTTCTAACAACAAAAAAATTGCAATTGAAAAAGTTGTATTATATTGGTAAGGATATGCAAAGCGCGGCATATGGATGAGGAAATCTACTTTACCCACGAAATCCTCAGTTCGTGGAAATGGCCAGAGATGGTAGTAGACAGCTAAAAATATCTGAAAAATCCAAATATTTCATGATTTACGATAATGCGTCAGAGTTTAATTAATTCTATGTACAAGAGAAAATCGTGTTTACATATTTTAAAAATTTTTTCAAAAATATAACGAGCTAATTTGAGTTTAATAGTAAACAGTTGTGATATCCTTGATTTTTCATTGCTGGGAACGCTAGCAAACATAATTAATTTATGCATCTATGTGGTATAAAAACTACTAGTCTTGTCAATGAATAAACATAAATATAATGAAAATTCAATTAATGCTCGTTAATTCAATGTAACACCAGTATATGGGACACAATTATATACATTTATGCTCTAATATATTTAAATAAATAATCGTCGATCGATTGGAACTTGTTTTTCAAGTAAATGTATGTATTTGCAGGAATTGTGCTAAAAAAAAAGAAAGAAAAAAAAGTAAGTCCGTTATTTAGCATAAATCTTACGCAACTCCTAGTTATTTCGCAAACGTATACATCTATACAGCAGGTTCTCATTGAATAAAAATACATGATTTGATGTGCATAAAAGTTTATTTTTATACATATGTAAGGAAAAATAAAATAACATAAAATACAATTTCAAAGGCAAGCGTAGCAGTAACTCGGTCGACCCGTGCATCACGATGTCGCAGGGTCGAGGAGCAGGTGCCTTATTTTTTTTTTTTAGCTCGGCTGCATCGCTTTTTCAAACATTGGAATCAAATACAATTATACTCTCAAAATCGGAAATCGATGCAAGTGACTTTTACGACAACCTATTGCACTCGATAACGCACACTCGCACCGTAAGCACATACACTGACATATACGCAGTTTTTATTATTTTTATTGCATCGCTGCGCAACGAATTCTCAATTTGCCCATTTTTTTTTTTTTTTTTTCCTTTACGTGAGAGGAAAAAAAATATGCAGGTTTTTTTATACAGATTTATGATCCCCCGTAAAAATAAACATAAAAAAAGGTAACAAAAAATAATATTAGTAAAAAATAAAAATAATAATATTGTTGATGATCGTACGATAATAAAACATTATAATAATGATCCATCTTGTGTACACTCGTAAAATTTAATGTATCACATTTTGTGTACAGCTCGTCTGCTTTACTTATACGGAAAGGACTAGCTTAGACTTATAACGTTCTCGCGAATCATCTCCGAATAAACATATGATAATTGACTTTTTTTTTTCTTTAGACGTTAAAGCACAAAAAGTATATATGCACAAAATTAATCAACGAAATAAATTTTGACGCGAAAAATTCGAAATAAAATTTTGAGTGAAAATTTTCTTAATGTAGTATAGATATGCATAGACGTAACAACACCTTTTCCAAAGGCATATGCACGCTTGATTACACGTAAGCTTGATATGTATCACACTCTGGCTTTGAACCGGAAGTCCACGACGCTTATGTACGTGGCGACGCGCTGGAATTTTGATATTTCTACAATTGTTGCACGCATGTTTTTGTCGGTCAATGCACATATAAAATATTTATACATCAATTTGTATTTACACGTTGAAAAAATTGTGATTTTGTTTGATTTGTATTTTACATGTTTAGGCAGTCATTAAAGTGATGAAAGAGAGAGAGTACAAATATTTATAATCAAGAAACCTCACGGAAACATCCATTGTACCATCATGACATTTTTTTTTCTGATACATAACTTGTAAAATTAACTGTACAATATTAATTTACTATTTACAGCTAACGTAAAAAAATTGTAACAAACAATATCTTTATCATACAATTCTTATGAGACGAAGAGCTTCATAAGTGTCAATTTTATAAAAACACTTTTAGCATGAATCAAATAAGTGTCAGTATTTAACAATGTAAACATTAAAAGTGCTATAAAATTTACAGACGGTGGATATAATTAAAATTTTGATGTAATTCTTCACTGTTTCCTTGTAAATTAATCAGAAAATGGACACCTGACATTTTTATGTACAAAAAAATACATCGCCATCAACTATCTTGGCGTGCCTTGAATAATATTTGATTCATCTAAAAGAGGGAAAAAAGATAATAGCGTCGTCTTTAAAAATCATCGTCCAACGGAATCGATCATCATCTGTGCGGGCAGTACGGCACTTGAGGAAACAAATGGCAGTGCAACGATTTGAACCTGTGAACAAAGAAACAGATTTATTGGCGTTAGAAATCAAAACATTTTTTTACCAAGACACTAGTGTTTTTTTTTGTTATAGTTAGCTTAATCCTTTGAGTATTAACAAGTTAATTATGTTCCAAACTGGTCTAATGTCCCTTTTAAAACCACCCCAAAAAAATCACTCCCAAAACGAGCCTTTACTTTTTCCTTATCAACCCAAGACGCCGGTCACGAATTTCAACCTATTCCGAATAGTTCCACTCGACGGGACATCACAAAAACCGCAAATCCGAGTACAATAGAAAATAAGGTATAGCCTATACACGAACGTGCAGCAACAAAAGCCCTACCTTGAAGCGTCAAAAAAAAATCTGACCCTCGAAAAAATCGAAAGCACCAGCCATGGACCCTGTCGTGTAGGTACGCGACACACTTGACGGCGAACAAAGGAATTACACCGGGCGCACCTAAACGAGGGTACATATACCTACAAGTATACGCACGCGTGACACGCGACACCTTTCTTTCTCCGAATCGCGCGTACGAGCAATTGCTTTTTGTAATTTGAGTTCACGGGCACAGTCGCGCGCCAAAGCTTTGGAGATTACAATTACGAAGGAGTCAATAAAATGAACAGAGAGAGAGAAGGGCATGGGTGGCGTTTTTTTTACAGCTCATCCCTAGCGAATCGACTTCTCTCAAGTACTTCCGGGGCTACGCGCTCGCGATGGGAACGACGTCGGAGGCGCTTGTGCGTATGAGTAAGTGCCCACAGAACTTGTGTTGTATCGTCGTCTCGATTGCAATTATGCAAGTAATTGAAGGCCTGCCGCCGCCGAGGCAAAAACGGTACCCCGATTCGCTCCCCCCCCCCCATCTCGCCGCTGTCTCGTCAATTTTTTTCAAATACTTCTCACGCGCTCTCTCTCTCTTTATCGCTCTTCTCCTTCGCGAGGCTCCCCTTTTTTCTCTCCTCCTCCTCGTTTTTCTCGCTCGGACGGGCGTATTATATATATGTACGTTCGTTAGTTCGTAAGCTCGACTGCTCTCGTTGTACTTGCTGCTTTATTTCTCGAGAGGAGAGTCAGATCGGCGCGTCTTGTGTCCCTGTCCGTCCGTCTTCCCTTGCGGGCTCATTAAATAATTATGTATTTATGACGATAGAAAATAATGACGAGAGGCTCGCCATTAATTGGCACTGAGTGATTATTTTTTTGACGTTGCCGGACGACCCGGGGGGGTGGTTTTTTTTTCTTTGCGGGCGTGTCCATTTTTTTTTTTTTTTTTATAACGTATAAGCTGTTTGAACTCTTAATTGTGCATGTTAATGACTAATCTTTATCATTTCATCGATACATTACAACAGAGCTTTTTTTAAAAAAATTGTCACTAAATTATTGTACCACATAATATGTGAAGCGACTAACCTTTTCGGATCGTCCCTCACACTGAATCCGTCTACCTTGACGACGTTCCAGTCGTCCCTTGGTCCCTTGGAGTAGCTAAACGACACCTGCAACCGAAAGCAATAAAAAAAAACTGTTTAATAAATAAATTTGTAACCAGCAACTGGTTTAGAGCTAAGAATGAAAAAACAAACAATCAAAACAACTGCAGCAGTGGGCCAATAAATGGGAAAAGCAAAAAAGGAGAGCTCGGTCGAGAGCAAGAGATATAACTACGGATAAGGGGCGCAGAACACAAATCCCCCGACCGAGGAGAAATTGATACGGGTATCTGCGGTGGTGCGCACTTTTTCGTCTCGATCGGCACGCTTTTATATATATATGTATACGCGTGGGTCCGTGTACAGTGCACGAAAGCCAACGCCGCGAGCGTAAGAAAAAAAAAAAAAGTACAGTATCGAGTCCACTCGGCCGCAAGAGCGTATTACGTAAAAAAAAAAACTATACCGGCATCTGTCGTGGCTTTCTTCGGCCAGGCGTTTTTTAATCCCTGCATCATCGATGTCATACAGAGATGCAGTTTGCGCAAAACTGCCCCACCGCTTTTCTAACAATTAAGCGCACACGTACAAAGTCCATACGAGGAGCCGCTCTATTGGCCTTTCTACAGTTACGAGGGAGCTTACAGTGCGCGTTAACCAGACGCTACAAGACTCTACGGTCGTTACTTTCATACTTACGTTTCCTACACGCAAATGCACCGCCAATGTGCACGTACGCGTATTTTAATATTATGCCCAGCCAATATGATTATATACACCTACGGCTAATGCGAGAATAAGTTTACCTGCTCCCGAGACACGCACATTTTTTTCATAAAATCCTCTCGCTCGCGAAAACTGCTCCCATACGCGTGGGTCATTGGGCACGCGCTTGTCCGTCTCCCGATACATGACAAACGGCCCTTCCTCGTACATACAACCCTTCCTTTCTTTCCTCCGGAGCAACTGGACCGCACGTAAGGAATCGAGGAGGAACAAGAAAACACATCCTCCTATCGGGCATCTCTGCTCTCTCCCTCTCCCGAGTGGTATAGGCACGAGCAAAGAACTTAATAGACGAGTTATGCCCGTCTATCTCGACATCCCGATCGCGAAGCTCGATGCAGCCTAGTACATTGTATGAATACTCCTTCCTCTGCTCGCGGGATTTTCCAAAGAGCCGGTGCAGCACGCGGGAGGAGGAGAGAGGAAAAAGTGGGTACGTGTTTTTTGAAAATTCAATTGACTCGTTTCCTTTTTCTCCTATGCCGATCGCGCGCCCGTTAAGGTCAAACCGAGTGATTTATGGCCGCGAACGAGCTTTCCAATGACGTATGTATCAATTCGTGGTTTTACTTATGCATGTTGCACTTAGCTTTGAAATAATCCTCAAAGGTAAGATTATAAAGTTTGATGCGCAAAATGAGGTCGTGATATTCTCGTCTGTACATATATATAGAGGCGAACAGTGATGGGCGAAAACCCGAAGTTGCCCCTTGACGACGGAGCTTCCAAAACTGTCTTTGAGAGCTCGTAGGTTCGGCTATGTGTGTATGCGGGAGTGAGTCGATGAAATTTGCATGTTTGCATATTTCAACGGCAGGGCAGGGGGGTTTCGTGTACGTCGATGTGCGAGAGGCTTTCGCAAAGTTTCAACTGCTGCTGCTGTTACTACGGGGCCGACGGACGGTTCGTTGAACTGACGGAAGGGTGGAAACGTTTTTGGTACTCTGTTTTATTTATTTTCTTTTTTTTTTTTTTTTTTTTTTTTTTTTTTTTTTTTTTTTTTTTTNGGGGGGGGGGGGAAAGAGCGACAAAATTACTTCTAAAGTTAGGGCTTGGGCCATTTTTATCGATCCGAGAGAGCATAAGGAGTCTTGCAATATTCAACTCGTATAAGACGGAAACCTGCATTTGAGTAAACGGCACGAAACGTCAATATTGAATGTTCCGAAATTACACAAGTACAAAGGATGCATACTTTATTTACCATCTACATTTAAATATTTTAAATACAGCTTAATAAATTAATGCTTTTTACTTTAAAAAGTGAATATACTGTTGATTGATTATTATAAGGGTTTGTACCGCACAGAAGCAAACTCAAAGAAAATTTGTTTTTAATCAATAAACTGATTATTCAATTCTTTTGGTGGACCATTGCAAAATCCAGCTATACTTTCTTGCAGGTGATATATTACAGTATAAAAAAAAAGTTACTAAAAATTCATGAGTAACTACGTAGCTACTGCTTTCACATCAGAATATCATAATTGGGTTACGTACGCAGTATGAAAAATAAAGACACAATCTTGTAGTCGTTCGTACTCTCTCCCTCTTTTTTTACTTTGAAGGCTCGATAAAAAAAATGTTAACAGCCACACAGATTGAAAGAAAACGAAACCAGAGCTCGACTGGCGCACAAAAGCGATTCAAGGACTTGCTCGTGAACTTTTATCGTACACGGTATATACACACACACACAAGCGCGCCCAGCTAGACGCTCCACTGACCTGCTCGTGAAGGGTGTCTTTGTTGAGGAACTTGAGAATCTCGAGATGCGAATGAAACTGCTCAACGACGGTGAGCTGTTTCTTCAGCAAGTGCTCGATTATGTATCCCATGGTCACGTCGTCCGGCAGTCGGATTCTGTCGCCAACGGTGATGAATTTGCCGCCACTGTAACATAAAATCGAATCAATTCACATGTGAGCTTTCATGAATACATTTCGTTTTATGTTTAAAAAATTGAATTAAAATTAAGGTTGCAAGTTCTTGCAGCAACATGACAATGGCAGTTTAACGTCTTCCACGTAATCAGAGGAATGAACAACAGTCACCATAAGCAAGAATATACGGTGAGAAATACTTTTGTTTTTTTTTCAGTGCCTCGAAAAAGAAGCCAAAAGCAATTTTCAAGCCGGTGCAATTAAAACCCGGTCCGAAATCGCAAAACCGTATCACTCGTTAGACCCACCCCTGGATGGAGATAAAGAGAAAGGAGAAGCGGAAGGTAGCGATAATGAAAGAAAAAAAGAAAAGATATCTCCCAACAAAAAACCATTACGGTACTTTTCCCGCGGAGCCTCCTCTTCTCGTTACCCGAACGAGCGTGTATTATCTCGATGCGAAACTGATATCGAGAGAAAAAAGAAAACACGGCGGCGCGAAGAAAAGTGCGCTCGGATTATAAGCATCGCGAGAGCTCGTTTAAAGGAGGCGAAAGAAATGGAAACAAAAACTAAAGCATCGGATGTGCGAATGAGAGGGATCAAAAAAAAAAAAAAAAAAAAAAGAGATTCGCATAAACGAGGTGCGGCTCTTTGAGGTCGAGTAAGGGATATCGTATGAGGGGGGGGGGAGGAATTTAATTATTCGAGCGGCTTTAATTCGGCAACATTCCGGCTCGCGTATGGAGATTAGGCCGGCAAACACCTCGTCGCACCTGCCGCTTCGTCTCCCCCGCCCCCTGTCCTTCTCTCTCCTTCGCACGCCGCGCGTACACGTATAGGTGTGCACGTCCCTTCGATCTCAGCTCCGTCGCGCCGCTCCATTAAAAAGGAAAGCGGCTTATTACGCTCCGTACCCAGGGCCGATTAATCGCTAATGGATCGGATTGCCGGTCAAAGCTGGCGCGCAGTTGTTGAACTTTTCGCAATTTAAATCCTCAAAGGACGGATCGTCCCTCTCCACTTGCACGGATTATTTCTCGTTTATTTATACATGCTTCTTTTCCACAAAAGTTCCATCATGTGTTGCGCTCGCGAATTTTCTCGATATTTAATTGCCTTTTTCGTTCGATCAAAGGGCAAAGGTTTTGTTTTACTCGAGGACTTGTACACCAATCCGAGGTGAAAGTGCGCCGTTGTCGCTGTAAATTTGCAAGTCCTTCCAAAAAGCCGATCCGTACGAGGATTAATTGGTTTATTATGCCCCTCGCGAATTCATGCAAATGCCCGGCATGTCCGCCGAGATAAGCTTCACGTTTTTTTTCTTTCCGGACAAAAATTCGACTCATCCGACGAGATTTTAATTAATCGCCGAATCATTCGTGATATACGTGATCCCGGGAAAGCTGGCCACGCACGTATATTGTACGATTTGATGGAGAAAAAAAAAGTCCCCAAAACCCCTCAGGGGAGCCGCCCACGCAATAGTTTCGCACGGTCTGGCAAAGAGACACCGCCGAGCGAAATACGGAAAAACGTCGTGGCAATAATCAACGTCGTCGTCTCCGTCCTCGCACGGGATCCGAGAAAAAAAGCGCCGGCAGCTCGTCCGAAAGCATCGGTAGTTCGTTGTCCCGCGCGGGTCTAGAAAAAACGCAAAAACGAACGGGGTCCTATACATAAACACACGCGAGCGAGGGCCGAAATGCGCGCAAGGACGACGACAGGAGAGTTTCCATGGGCCTGCTGCCAATTAGGGGACACACGCTCCGAGAGATATATACTAGTCACAGATGCTGCCGCATGGGCCCCAACACACGAGGGCTGATGGCAACAGCAGAAGAAGACAAGAAGAAGTTGGGTGTATGGCACCGTGCGTGTATAGGTGCACCCATGCGGTTGACGCGCGAGCGCGCTTTAATTAACATTTTTCGTTTCGATTGGTCCGTCCGCCCGGCCCTCCTGATGGCCCCATATACCCTCGTCCGCTCTCTCGTTTCGTTTTCGCTCTCATTAGCGAATACCGCGACGTGGCCTCCCTTTTCGCCGCTATACTCGGCCCTCCTCGCGATCATCCACATATACCTGTCCGCCGCACACGTAGCGTGTCTCTCTAGTACCCCTTGTTTTGTCTTCCTTCCATACCGATTCGGACTCGACGAAATCCGATCGTCCACCCCCTTCGATCCTCAGCTCGTCTTCTTCGTGATTTCTCCGCTCGCGCGACCTTTTTAATTGGCCGGATTAGCCTCCCGCGCGCGATCGAGAGAGAGAGAGAGGAAAGTCGCGAAACCGATTTTTTACCGATCCGCGCGCCAATCCTTCCCCCGGCGATTACCTTTTGGGTTTTATCCTTCGGCTGTTCGCAGGAGGAGAAAGAGATCGGTATAGGGCCGTCGTTTCCCTTTCGGCAGGGGATGGGCAGGAATATCGGCCTCGTTAAAATACCACGCGACGAAATCGAAATTCGAGGTTAAGAGCAGGGAGGTGGGGGCTGCGTTTGTTCTTGCGTGCGTGCGCGTTTCATTTGTGCGTTATGCGCTCGTTCCTAAAAAGAAGGAGGCCGGGGGACAAGAGGCTTACAGAAACGAAATCGCGCGTCTTTCCCACATGTATATACGCAAGGGCTCCTTTTTACTTTTTTTTTTTTTTTTTTTTTCCCGAGCCCGATATCGCGAAATATTTCCGGGGGTTTCTCGTTCGTTTGTTTTTCAACGAAGTCTCAGTGTTTTTCAATTAACGTTCCTCGAGTGTCGTTAACGAGGCCAAAGCTACGATGTACCGGTTTTACATGTAGAATCGGTGGTGGTGCTATTCAATGCTTCTTTTCCCGAAACGATTTAAAATAGACGTCTCTCGGAGTCATTTGGGGTTCGCGGAGCGTGAAATAACAGGGTTGGGACGAAGTCGCGGTGAATTTTTGACGGTTTTCCGATGGCAGGTACCGATCGTTCCATTAAACGAAACCCGCAATTACCGGCCGGTTTTTACGACACCCGATCCATTCGATTGATTTAGGGGTCATTTGAGCTAATAATGTACGGGTGCGCGATTCATTTGCATGCATCGTTAAGCCAAACGAGCGGGCGATTGACATTGAATGCAAAGTAGCCGGGCACCTGCTTCTATCGGAATCGGATGGCTCGAGTCGATACGTTTCACAGTCTCGAAACCTAGCTCTTTCCGGGGAACATTGATACACCTCGTGCAAGTAAAATTAAACTTTTTTTTACTCCGGAATAACCAAAAATCCAAATGGAAAAAATAAAATTCCTCGAGCGTGTTTTATTTAAATGAAATGGCCGTTTGATGTAAATAAAACAACCCCACAGGTACTTTTTTTTCCTCAAATCATTATACCTATCACACTTTTACTTACGCATACGCCTATACAAATCGACGGTCGCCGGGAGCATTTTTACATAATACAGCGTCATGAAGAAAAAAAAATGAAAAAAAAAAAAAAAAGAAAGAAAAAAGTTAATACGCTCTTTCCTCGTAGGCTCCGTCTCCCGAAACGCTTCCCCGAAACCCGTGAGTACAAAACGGTGTACGGGCCTAATTAAGCGAGACGCCCGGTGGTAATAAAATCGACATCCAAACCACTCGGTGTGTACATATAAACGTGGGCACGTGGAGATAAATCACCGCGGGAGCGACGAAATCCCGAGACCGTTTCCGCGCGAACCGATCGGATGACGGATTCATATACACGCGACCGGCACTACTGAGGTAGCCGAGCGGTACCAACGCCCCCCCCCCTCCCTCGCCCCCATTATCCCGCTAACGACCTCATTAACTCGGGCGATAAACCTGTCAGCGGAGCGATTCCGTCATTAAGAGCCGGACCCTCCCTCGTACTCGCTCGGCCGAAAAATCAGCGAGTGCGTCTGCTGATTTTCTGATCCGAAATGAAAAAGGGAGGCATTGGCGATCGAAAATATGAATTAAAAGGTGACGTGTAGGTACTGCACTTGCAGGTACAAGTGCACGCGTAGGGATGGGGTCCCCGCATCCTCTAGCGAAATCGTGGACCTATTGCGTGATTATATACTCGCCTAATTGGATTCCTTTCGTCGTGGCCCGATTGGGGTGAGCTCCGTCGGGGAGGAGGGGGTGGCTATCAGCAGCGGCGGCTCGTAAAACCAATTTGGGCATTCCGAGGGCGCGGAGAGCGAGACGGAAGCGAGAGGATGGGATCGCACCGGACTGATCTATGGGTGCCCTTTTATAGGTTTGTTTGGTATACACCGCTATAGGATGAGACAGGTATCGTGAAACGCGAGGTGTGGCGAGGCGGAGCCTGATGCTTTTGTTCGTTCTATATACGGTAGTAATGGTAATTGCGGGTTTCACACATACTGTTTTTTTTTCTTCCTTTTCTTGTTAATAAATTAAATTGCCGTCCATCACCGATGCATGCCGAAGAATTATAATTACCCCAATAATAAGCGAAGCATAGTTATCTGGTGTAGAAATAATGTTTGAACAACTGGAAAAAGGTAACCCTGGATATCTACCCGGCACGTGTAACTCTCAACGTGCACCTTTTTTTTAAAACACACATCTCCCATTCGCGTTGAAGCACATGAAAAAGGAGCGTCGGCGGCGAAAAAAAAGAAAAATCTCGAAATCGCGGCATCCACAACCCCCCCGGCCATGGGCATTTTTCCAGCCCGGCCCTCATTATTTCTCCTCAATTTCAACTCTCCCCTCGTTCCGTTTGCCGCACTTTGAGCCGCCGCTCCGGACTCGGGTCGCACATACCGCGTGCATCACACGTTACGCGCGAAACCCTCTCTCTCTCTCTCTATGGTAGAAAATATTACGCGGTGAATTCCCCGGCGAGCTGGTGCTGCAGCTCATAACGTAGGTATGTAGCATGCGGTGCAGGTGTTCTCCCGCGAAATGATGTGGATTCGTTTTGAAATGGAAACGCGGATCCCGAAACGGGGCTGGGAAGCGAATCAGGGGGGCCCGAGGAATTTAATTGAACATCACGCGCGCGGG